TGGAAATTCCCACCAACGCCTGGAAGTCCATGCACTCCACGCCTCTGCCAACACGGAGACTTTTGACCGTCAGCCATTTTGGGGGGTGAAGGGCACAGCGGAGGTTCAGTGGCAGAACCCTCACCTTCCACGCAGGAGACCTGGGTTCTGCCAGTGGAGGCTTGCATGTTGCTATGATACGATGCTGAACAGGTTTCAACAGATCTTCCAGACTAAGACAAACTAGGAAGAAAGTCCTGGCGATCTACTTCCGAAAATCAGCCAATGAAAATACTATGGATCACTATGGTCTGATCCACAACCGATCATGCGGATGGCGCAGGACAGGGCAGCGTTTCGTACTCTTGTGCTTGGGGTCGCCATGTGCTGGGGACCGATTCAATGGCAGCTAACTAGAACAGCAGCAGCAGCCGTGGGGGGTGAAGTGGTGTCTCACCGCGGTTTTGATTTGCACCTACCTGAGGACTAAGGATGTTGAGCGTGTTCTCACATACTTACTAGCCATTCATATACCTTATTTTGTGAAGTGTCTGTTCAAATCTTTTGCCCATTTTTCCCTCCAAGTGGGCTGCTTGTCTTTTTATTATTGACTTGTAGGAGCTCTTTACATATTTTGGATACAAGTGCCTTAACAGATACATGCATCATAAATATTTTCTTCCAGTCTCAAAGAGCAGAATTTTTAAATTTTAATAAAGCCTAATTTAATCAAGGTTTTGGTTTATAGTTAATGATTTTTCTGCCCTGCGAAATATCTGCCTGGCCTAAGGCCATGGAAATTTTCTGCTATGTTTTCTTCTGGAAGTGTTACAGCTTTAGGTTTTACGGGTGGGCCTGCGATCCACTTGGAGTTGATCAGTAAGGGCCAAGTTCCGTTCTTTCCCTCTAGAGGCCCAGTCTTCTGACAAACAAGGGTTTCTATCACACAGCCAGCGAGTGTGAGGGTTCCTTCTGATGTTTGATTTAGGGCCCCAACATGACATAATGAACATGACTCGACGCGAGCCACCCTCTCCCATGACTTCCTCGAGCCCAAGTCTGCCCCACTCCTGACATGCGCCCCAGAGTCACTCTGGAAGAAGGGCGCTCCCACCAAGCCACAAAACCCGGGCAGGCCCGTCTCGTCCTGAGCTGGAACCTCCCTGGGCCCCCTGCTCACGGGGAGCAAGTGGTCAGCCCCTCTGAGACGCGCAGCGGTCCCGGCCCCCCGTCAACAACAGGAAAGGTGAGGCCTCCACCATTCCTTGCCTGCTCCCCGGTAGCCCTGGTTGACCCCTCCTCCCTGGAACACCCCCATTCCCACCCCTCACCAAGTGCAGCCACTGCCCTACTCCTGCGGCACCACGTCCCCGCAGCCCCTCGACTGGGGGACACGCCCCGCCGGCCGCCGGCCTCCCTCCCCTCACGCACAAGGCCATCACTGTCCCTGGAGACACGGTCTGCACCACTCCCCAGGTCCAGAGAGCCCAGCAGGACACGCCAGCTTCCTCCATTCTTACAGTGAACCAGGCTCTTCTGTGGCCTGTCAATCACCCGGGCTCAGAAAGGGGCTTCTTATACGAGAATGATAAACACACCCCCGGTGCATACTGACTTGCCTAAGTATCAGGGAGACATGGGACAGAAGCGGGGTCGCGCCTGCGGACAGTTCAGGCCGGAAGTCCAGTTCAAGCTGCTCCTTCATGGCTGGAACATGGCACGAGAGGCCGAGAACAGTGCCTGGCGCCCATGACCCCACTCCACCTACGGGATGGCCGCCATGCCAGCGGGGCCCAGACCGCTCTGTGCTGCTCTCGGGGGGACAGACTGGGTGTGACTGAAAGCCCACAACCGGGCACGTGGGCTCTGGGCCCCAGGAGGCAGCCGAGGCCGTAGGGGAGCCGGGCCGCCCCCGCCCCAGGTCGCTTACCCGTACCAGTAGCGAGGGTCGCTGGAGATGCAGTGGTTCAGGTTCCGGTGGGCCAGTGCTTTCTTCTTGTTTAGGACGAACTCCTGCAGCTTCATCTTCACCTCGGTGCTGGCCACTGCGCCTGGCATGTGCGAAAGCAGAGACGGTGATCCACGGGGAGTCACGGGGATCGAGCGGAGAGGGGAGGAAAGGCACCGAGACCATTTGCACAGAACCCCACGGGATTCTAATTCAGGGCGCTTCCGACACCAGGAAGGTGTCCTCAAAGGCAGGAGAGGACAGGAGGGGTTTTAATAAGAGGGCTTCTTCCCATCAAGATTTCTACATAATTGCATTCTGTTTAAAATGCAGATTTAATCATAAGGAGACGCATTGTTACCTAACACAAAACCCCCTTCTGAAGGGAACTTTCATGCTCACATAAAAGAGCGGTTTGAATTAAGCGCTGGCAGCACGGTGGCCTCCTTCCTGCCTCAGCAGAGGCAGAGGAGACTCAAAGACAAGGTTCTGTGCAAATGGAAGCGTCC